TGTGATCTTCGTCAGCTGCAGGAACAAAAAACAAAAAAAAAAAAAAAAACCACGACGTCACGACACATTTCCTCAAATGTTCTGATTCTGCAACAGAAACCCACGGACCTTCTCCTCCAGGGGCATGACCAGGATGCCCCCCACCTTCAGCAGGTTCTTCATGAACTCCTCGTTCTCCTTCTGGACCCCGGCACCACAGTAGACCCGGTCGTAGTGACGGGTCTCCGGAGGGATCTCCAGGCAGTTCCCCACCACGAAGGACGGCTCGCAGAACTCGAACCTGATGAGAGGCAAAAAAAAAAAGAAAAAAAAAAGAAACCAAACATAAAACAGGTGCGTGAGAAAACGAGTTGTTTACAAACACGTCAGACTGAAAACCACAAAGTTCTGCTGCTTTAAAACCCGGTTCTTCAAATCTACATCGGACCCACTTGTCAAAACTGTTGCTGGTCTTGATGAAGGAGTCTAGCTTCTGGTAGGCGTAATCGATGACGTCGGCGTGGAGTTCTACGCCGTGGTTCACTCCAAAAGGTCCTGGAACCACCGGAGCAGAGCAGCTTTTCAGAACCAGAACCAATCAATGGGTTAAATCAAACCGTCTGCAGAGGTTTTACCCAGAATGAGCCCGACCATGGTGCTGAGGTATCCGGTCCCGCTCCCCAGGTTCAAGAAGGAGAGGCCCGGGTGGAGGTCCAGCGCCTCCATCACCTCGGAGTAGATACACGGCGCCGACAGGTGGATGTTTCCATGGCGCCAAGCCAGGTCCTGCAGGCGACAGGAGAACCAGATCAGGGTTTCTCCAAACCCCGCCCCCCGACCACAGAAGACTCCGCCCCACGTGTCTCACCTTGTAGGCGTTGTCCAGGTACTCGTCCAGGTAGTAGTCGGCCCGGTCGATGGCTCTGAAGGCTCGCTCCACCAGGTCCGAGCGGATGAAGTTCGCCTCCTTCAGGTTGTCGATCAGTTCATCGTTGTCTCCGCCGGCACTCACGGCTCCGCCCATTCTGACAGGAAGTGAGACCAACATGTTGTAAACGGGAAACACGGGTTCAGAAAGAACTTCGGTCACATCTGGCCCACGGGCCTCGACTTTGATTCGTGTTTTAATACAATAATACATCTTTGAAGCCAACATGGGCCACTTAAAAGCAGAGGTGTAAAGTAACAAAGTACAAATAC